TTCTCAGATCACACTGGTCTTCTAGCTCCGTGCGTATGCTGGGCATGCCCCCACCTCAGGATCTGGGCACTGCCTATTGCCTTTGCCTATAGTAGTTTTTCCCCAGAAAACTGCTTGGCTCAGTCTTATTTCCTCTAAATTTTGAGTCAGTTGGCACTTTCTCCACGAGGCCCAGCTCAGCCACTCTGTTTAAAATTACACCTTTCCCCCAGGATTTCCCATCTACTTTATTTTTCTCTATAATGTATAATAATAATATAATGAATGGTGCTTTATTTTTCTCTATAGCACTTTTCACCTGAGAAACGTGTTACTTATATTTTATCTGTCTCCCTCTACTGGAACGTAAGCTGCACGAGGACAAGTGTTTTGGTCTCTTTTATTCACTTCTATATTCCCAGCTCCTAGAATGCTACCTCAATAACTATCTTTTGAATGAATGACTTGAATGAATTTACCAAGTCATTTCAACATACATGGTACTATTTCTTAAAGATTTCATTCTACCAGGAGAGACAAAAATCAAGTAAATGAACCAATTATGTCAAATTGGTTAATACAGTGAAGGAAATGAACACAGTATGGATTAGAGATGGGGGAAAATCTGCTTTGTGGGCTGATTCGGGAAGACGTCTGGGCTGTTAGCTAAAAGTGAAACATGAATGATGAGAGAGCTCGAAATTAGTGGTTGAGGCTTAAGGAAAGTGATCTAGGCAGAAAATGACATTTACACAATCTTAGGTGTTAATATTAGTCATTAAATAGGAAATGTCCCATTTCGAATCAGAAGTGTAGTTTATTATATCTCAAACAAGAAGCAGTACAATTAAAGCCTGTGCCTAAACTATCAACACAATTTTGTCATATTTATTAGAAGAAAGTGGTTTTGGATGTTCATTCACCCAGAAGTAAAATTAAATATGAAACGTCCAATTTCGAATCAGAAGTGTAGTTTGTTATATCTCAAAGAAGCAGTGCAATTAATCAAAGTATGCGCCTAAACTATCAACATGGTTTTGCCATCTTAACAGTAGCTTGTTTATGCCAGCACCAAAGAAGCCTGGAGAGCGAGTGGCGATGAAATTCTGAAAAGCATTTTCTACAATTTGTTGAGAATTGAATATTGTTCCTTTCAAGAACTGGTCTAAAGCCTGGAAGAAGCGGTAGTCAGTTGGTGCAAGGTCTGGTGAATATGGTGGATGACAAAGAGTTTCCAAGTCCAGTTTCTGTAGTTTGAGCAGTGTTGTTTGTGAGAAGTAGTCAAGCATTGTCTTGTAAGAGGATTGGCCTGTCTCTATTGACCGGTCTCAGCTGCTTAATCACAAGCATCCTCATCATTTCGTTCAGTTGGTTGTAGCAGACATGTGCTGTAATCGATTGACCAGGTTTCATGAAGCTGTAGCGGATACCAGTGCTGGACCACCAAATAGACACTATAGGTTTTTTTGGTGAATATTTGGTTGGATTGTGTTTTGGCACTTCACCTTTATGCAACCATTATGCCGAACGCTTGCGATTGTCAAAAAGAATCCATTTTCGTCACACGTAACAATACTGTGTAGAAATGGTTCACCTTTATGTCATGACAACAAAGAAAGGCAAGCTTCCAGACGATTTCTCTTCTGACGCTTGTTTAATTTACACAGAACCACTTTATCCAGCTTCTTTACCCTGCCGATTTGTTTAAAATGGTCCAATATTGTTAGAACAGCAACATCAAACCTTGCTGCTAATTCACGCGTAGTTTGAAATGATTCGCTTACCCTACAGCTTTCAGCTCATCATTATCCTCCTTGGTCTCAGGTCTCTCACATGGCTCATTTTCAAGATTAAAATCACCAGAACAGAACTTCTCAAACCATTCACATACTGTGCGTTCATTAGCCACATCCTTCCCAAACACTTCATTGATATTTCAAGCTGTCTGCGCTGCACTGGTTTCACAACAGAACTCATTCAAAAATAACATGAATTTTTGACTTATCCTTGGTTTCACAAAAATTGCTCTAAAAACATTTGAAAGATAATCACAAGCCAAAATGTGTTTGAAAGAATGAAGATGTCCCTTCATAATAAAAATAAAACAAGCAGTGTCTAAGTGAAATACCAGAGATACCAACCGTCAAACTTCGTTCTGAAGGAAATTGGACATTTCATACTTAATAACCTAAATAATTACAGAAATTGAGAAGCGGAAACAAGATCAGACTGAGGTACTATGGATAGGCTAATAATTTGTCACCCCTTTAGGCTGATATTCTTCAGACCAACCCTCAGTGTTTACTTAAGAGAGATTCTAAGTACTGCACAAGGAAGGGCTACTGGTGGCAGCCCTTGGCCTTTAACACTGTTCGAGCTTTTCTGTTCTAGTCCTTAACTAGCATTCTCCTCTTAGCAAGGTAAAAATGCCAAAGAAAAGAGATCAGTTACTCTGGAATGTCAAAGGTCATAATGGTTGCAAGTTCTTATTTCAGATGTAGTAATGAGGTTGACATTTTTTTTCATCTGTTGAAACATATTTAGATTTCTTGACTATTGAGACACTTTTTTCCTAGTAGAAAAAAGGTGCGTGCAGGGAGTGGTGGGGGTAGGCTGGACATGTGGTGGCAGGGACTGAAGTCAATGTCTCTGCTTGAGTCTTAAGGCTCTTGGTTATAGTATTTACTTTCTCCTTTGGCTGTATTAAAACTACCAGTGTAAGTTGTGATAAAGATTGGCAGGGTAAAAACAGTGTTACTAATGTCCCAGTTAGGCAAAGAGATGAAAATGAATTTAAAGAGGAAAAAATAAAGAGCAAGTGGCAGAAGGTTTTCAGGTATACTTTGGAGGAAGAGCTTCAACAATGTAAACAAAAGATCTTACAAGGAGATGAGAGAACAATCATAAGTATGGTGAAAAGTCTCCTTTAATGTAATGTATGTGTATTTATGCCTTGATTTCTTTATGGGAACATCTTTACTTTCTTATGGGAAAAGGAAGCTAACAATGACAAAGATGGGTTTATTCTGGGGTTTATTAAAAAATGGTATAATTTTGACAAAGCAGAGAAAAGCAAAGAAAACGAAAGTCAAGCTTCCTGCTCCCTCTTCCTATTGGGAAATGCAATACAATCTTGGTAGGGCCAGGAGTTGAAAAAGATGAGAAATGACATGTATAATTTATGTGTGTGTGTGTGTATATTTATATATAGTCGTGTGTTGCTTAATGACAGGGATATGTTCTGAGAGATGTGTTAGGCGATTTTGTCATTGTGTGAACATCACAGAGTGTACTTACACAAACCTAGATGGCATAGCCTACTACACACCTCGGCTCTATGGTATAGCCTATTGCTCCTGGGCTACAGACCCATATAGCACGTTACTGTACTGAATGCTGTAGGCAATTGTAACACAATAGTAAGCATTTGTGTATCTAAACATATAAAGGTACAGTAAAAAATACGGCATAATCTTAAGGGACCACTGTCATATATGCAGTCCATCATTGATCGAATCGTCGTTATATGCACATGACTGTGTTTGTGTGAGAAATTTTATGAGCTGAACCAAGAGTTGCCAGTTTTAATTTATCTAGGTTTGAAGTTCTTTCAAAGAAAATCCTTGGAGAACTTGTTGTAGGCTAAACACCTTCCCAAAAGAATGCACATGTTTACACGAGTGCACTTTCTGCATATCAGTTCACTTGGTCCTTGGACCCTCCTAAAGTTCATTGGTGAACCCCAGTTTCAGAATCTTTGCTCTTTGCCAACCTCTCATCTTCTGCAGTGAACAGCTGGGGCATCTAGTCTCTGCCTAAAAACATCTAAGAACAGAGAATTTGCCTTTTTGTGCAATAGGGCTATTCAACAATGGAATAGGCAAAAGGTTATAAGAAAGTCCGTAGGTTAGGGTGAATTCAGCTGTTTTAAAGACTTGAATAGAATCCACCCTTGGTTCATACTACGTTTGTGATCAAGTTCTAATTGAAAGCTATTCCCACAAAGTGCTATTAAGTGTGCTAGCACTGTCCCTACCCTCCAGTACACCGAAGGACACTTGTACAATTGTAGCTATGTACACAACTCAAGAACCCTTCTACGTTTTTAATACATTGTTAAAACATTTCTAAA